TCCCTCAGCTTGGAGAACAACCAAACCAAGAGGTCGAGCCGTTGGTGACCGGCGAAGAATTTGGCATAACGGAATTCATTTCGGACACCGGTCTAACTATGGATCAGTTGATTGGAAGCGCATCAATCCCGAAGGCGGAAGTGGCATACAAGTTTGAACTCGGTAAACCGCTTGTCACGCCTGAGCAGCTGCAGTCCCTACCGACACAGATGTACAAATTCAATGAACGGTACATGGAAATGAGCGCCGAGGGTAGAGAGATGTTCGGAGCGAGGATCAGAAACCTCGACTTTTTGCAAGGAGAAGATGTTCTCTGGCTCCATTTCAAGGATGTCTTCGATCTGTACCATCTGGATGCCCTCGATGTCTCTCTTTTGAGCGCATGGATTTTGTAAGTATCTTTGAGTTCGATTTGTTTCGTTCAATAACTAGCTCCTGTCATATATGTAAACAATAATAATTTCATTTTATCGTTGTAGAATGGAGATTCAAAAGGCCCGACGGCAGGGGGTTTACGATACTGGGTTCATCGACCCTCGGAAAATCAACACCCAAATGATTGACAAGTACGAGAAAGACACAGAGGACAATCTCGTCCATCTCCTAATGCAGCAGCATTTCAAGACGTTCATACTACTGCCATACAACACAGAGTGAGTTTTTATTGTCGTTCGAACAAATTTCGTATATATACATATAGCATGTACATTTTCATATATATATCTCATCTCACGCATATTCCAGCTTCCACTGGGTCCTGTTATTCTTTGACTTGGACGCATAGAGAGTCACTGTGTACGACTCAATGAATAAAGAGGAGAAGATTTTTGACAAGGTCTTCCGACTGATAGACAGGTGATATAATGTCATCTATTCCAAAGTCGCGGGAATTTTATTGCTATTATGTTGATCTCGGGTAATAATTAATTAATCATAGCTTGCAACTGCACATGTAGGGCTTGGGATCGGTTCCGTCAATTGGTCCGCGGGACTTGGAAAGAAAAACTTGGATGGAGGTTTCATTTTCCGGTGAATATATGCATGATCCAAAATTGTATTGAATTAAATCTCTAATTACAGTTAAATATAAAGATTATATTAAATCTCTCATCGTTTCTCATGTAGTATGCAAAGCAGGACCAGGGAACTAACTTATGCGACTACTACGTATGCGAGTATGCCCACTGCCTATCAAACCAAATATACACCACACGAGAGCTCGATGTACGTATACATAAACCATTCAAAATTTCATTGCGTATCGATTTGTTAAGTTGTTTATTAATTTCATATATTGATATGTCATTATTTTTCGAATGATAGCGTATTCACATGAGGGATAATCTCCCACACAAGGATTTTATCACGGTTGTTCAAGAACAACTGATGGGATTCATCAATGAAGAAGTCTTTAATCCCGATGGTAAATTCTACTACGACGGATCGACAATTCATAACGTCGGTCCTTCCTTTTCTGACATAACGCCGGCGTCGAAGTCGTAGCTATAGCTAGCAAGAAAATGAATTGTACTATACATGTATATATATATATATATATATTTATATATGTGCGTACATTTACTTTAGTGTTAATATATATTTTGGTAACATATATATGCACATAAGATGTTAAGTGCTTTAAATTATAAATATGTGTGTATATATATGTATTTATACATATACACATATGCACATATATATATATATATATATATATATATATATATGCACATATATATTTCTCCACCAGTGATTCGGCACCTCCTTCTGCGGACAGGCTTTAATTTGGCTGTCTTGGCATGGTCGACGCAACGGTGGAGTAGATGCATGGCACCGGTGACAACCGCCGCGGCGGAGGCCCCGGCCGGCCGTGAAGGAGTTAAGGACGAGGCGGCAGCTTCCTTGGTCCGGAGAGGAGAGGCGATTATGTCGACGTTGGTGGCGCTGGGCAGCGATCTCCGGCCTTGTCGAAGATGGGCTTGCTAATGTGCTTGGGGAAACTCTTTTCCGGCATGCATGATGACTTCCGATGAGGTGGACGCGATGTGGGGACCTTTCCCGACGATTCCCCGAGCCGGCGAGACGTACTCCTCCATTCTAAAATATTCGCCGTTGACCTTTTTAAAAATGTTTAACCGTTCGTCTTATTAAAAAAAATTATAGTTTTACAAATTTTATAAAAGTTTTGAAATAAAACAAACGGTCAAATATGTTTAAAAAAATTAACAGCGTTAAATATTTAATTAGGGAAGGAGGGAGTACATGGGAAGGAGATGAGCTTGGCGAAGCGACACGTACGGCAAGTTGCCGTGAGAGATGTCGTCGAGTTGGTCCTCGTTGTTCGCTTGCATGCTGTCGAAATCCGCAGAGGCTGTGCTCTCGTGGTATGGTTTCTTCCCTGTTACCTTCCATGCATACGACATGTATGAGTTACTTGGTTTTTGCGCATGGTCTTGTAGCATGCAGATGACGTGGCCTCGTCTCATTGGTCGGCCGGGTTGCCTTGCATGGTACTGTTGCTCCTTGCTTGTAGATGTTTGTTGCATGCATGTCATTTCTCTTTAGACGATCGACGCGTCTTCAATGGAAAATACTTCGTGTCGTGCGTTCGATCGGAAGACAAATATCGGATATCAACTTTCTCATCTGTACTAATCTAAAGTTGATTCACCTTTTCCATGACTCTGACTTTACATATGCACAATTCATTTTCTCTCTCCACGTCTCATCTTTGTATGTAGTTAGCATTTATTTAGCTTCATGTAGTCTATGAGTATATACATGCAAGAGGTTCTAGTTGTAAGCTTTAAAGGAATTTTTCTTGTAAACTATTTATCCAATTTACTATCCGATTGCACAATTGTATTCGTTGCAATTAAATCTCTATAACAAGATATCATATGATTCTATTCCGATTAAAAAAAATACATAAGTTTCAACCGATGAGTTTGGATGTTTCACGTGTAAGAAATAAATGATTCAATCAGAGTTTGGCTATATTGCACATTTTAAGTTTTATGTTGCCATGGATCTTATAAAATGTTCCATGGCATTATTTCGATGTTTCGATAAACATTTTTCTGATGTTTCACTAGTTTATTTGTGAATGTTGCATGTGGTATTATTGGATGTTTCAGTAAGTATTTTCTAATGTTTCACTAATTCATTTTTAAATGTTGCACGTGTTGTTTGGGATGTTGCAATGAATATTTTCTAATGTTTCAATAATTATAACTCGTTGTTTCACGTATAATATATAAATGTTCCAATTAGCAATATAATCACATTTATAAATTTTATCAGAAATATAACCAAGTGAGATATTGTAAAGATTTAATTATAACGAACACAATGGTGAAATCGGATGGTAGATCGGATAAGTAATTTAGAAGAAAAATTAGTTTAAAGGTTTATTGGTAGAGAATATGAAGAGAGAGATTTCATGCATGTATACACGAGAGTAGGGTATAGGCTTGCATCATAGCAGCTTAACTACGATGGTTTTTTTTGCATCCAATCAGACAGGTGGGTGAGCAACGTCCGAACTGTAGCAGTCGCTTTTTTTGCATGCAGTTAGACAGGTGGGTGAGCAATGTCCGATCTTTTGCTAAATATCGGACGTCCGATCTGTAGCAGTCTCCGGCTTCAATTCATCGTTGCTGATTCTTGATGCTGCTGTAGTGAACGGCCTGAAAGGAGCGGATATATAGCGAGGCCGTCGTCGAGGTGGTCACCAGTGTAGTCGCGGCCGCGTCGAGCGTGGTGAAGATGTCGGCGTCGAGGCTGTCTTCGTCGCTAACGCGGCATTCGTTGCTGGATATATGGCGGCTTGTGTGTGTGCCTTGGACGTAGATGCGTGCGGATGTCCTTCTTCATGCTCTCGTCGCAGCCGTTGCTGCTATCCTCTGTGGCCTTGCCGTAATTGTTGTTGCTATCGTCACGGCTGCAGATGAGCACGGTGGTGTCGAGGCCTCCCGGTCGGCCTCGCCGAGGTGGCAGGCTGTACAGAGCTTGTCGTGTTGGCAACGTCACCTCTTTCTTCGGTGTCGTCAGTGACGAGGTGGCGATGAAGACGGCACGGCACGATGGTGTAGAAGGCATCCCGGCCGGATTTGCCGATGTCGCGGGCAGCATGGGGGTCGTGTAGCATATATGGCCGCCTGGTTCTTTGATGTCGTCGGTGGCGGCGAGGTGGCGAAGTAGATAAGTTCGGTGATTGCTGCGGTGGTGGAGTAGGCGGTGTTAGAAAGGTTGTTCCTGTTACATGTGTTGTTACATGTGATAATGCATGAGATAATAGGATAAGGTTGGTTCGGTTAGTTTGTTTCAGAGTTTGTTTCTTTCTTCTATCCGAATCAACTGAGATTGATCTCATCTATTGTAAGCCACGTTGGGGGCTGTTCCCAACTCATATTAACACACGTACGCGGCCTCGAGAGAGGTGACAACGCTTCCGTATTTTCTACATGGTATCAGAGCGAAAATCGCATCGACTGGATTGCATCTAGCGATGGCATCCTCTAGCTCCACCTCCAGCAACCCCCCTATCCGGCCAATCCACCCCTGACAAGCTCACCCGCAGCAATTTCTTGCTATGGAAAGCGCAAGTTCTCGCCGTGATCCGGGGGGCGCGCATGGAAGGCTATCTCACCGGTGCAACCAAAGCTCCTTCGGAGACAATCACGGTTGTGCCGGAGAAGGAAGGTGGCAGACCCACCTAAACCGTGAACCCCGCGTATGAGGCATGGCTCGCCGCGGACCAACAGGTTCTCGGCTATCTCCTCTCCTCCTTTTCGAAGGAAATTCTGACGCAAGTCGTCACCATGGAGATGGCGGCGCAGGTATGGAAGGGGATCACAGAGATGATCTCCACTCGGTCGCGGTCGCAGTGTCTCAACACACGACTCGCGCTCTCCATGACGCGCAAAGGTGACTTGAGCGTGTCCGACTACATCAACAAGATGAAGATGCTGGCGGACGAGATGACCGCCGCCGGCAAGCCCATGGACGACGAGGAACTGATGGGCTACGTGCTTGCCGGCCTCGACGACAACTATGAACCGGTTGTCTCCAGTTTGGTAGGCAAAAGTGAGCCGGTTTCAATCTCTGAAGTCTACTCACAGCTTCTGAGTTTTGAGTCCAGGGGAAAACTTCGCCAGATGACGGCTAATCACGGATACTCCTCTGCAAATGCCGCCAAGCGCGGCGGCAAAGGCGGCGACTTCAGTCGCGGTGGAGGCGGCGGGGGTCGCGGTGGCCCCAGGAACAACAATGGCCGTGGCGAACGCGGCGGCTTCAGTGGACGCGGACGCGATGGCAACAACACCGGCGGCTGCTACAACTCCAAACCCCGTCCGGTGTGCCAACTCTGTGGCAAGATTGGACACGTCGTCACCGATTGCAGGCACAGGTTCGACGACTCGTTCGTCCCTGATCCAAAGATGGCAGCAGCAGCCTCCTACCATGTTGATCCGAACTGGTATATTGATACCGGTGCAACGGATCACATCACGGGTGAACTAGAGAAGTTAGCAACCCGTGAGAAGTACAATGGCAAAGATCAGATCTACACGGCAAGTGATGAAGGTATGGAAATCAAACATATAGGCCATTCCATTATTCGCACACCCACACGCAATTTGCATCTCAATAATTTTCTCCATGTACCACATGCACAGAAAAATCTTGTATCTGCTCATCGTCTTGCCCTTGATAACCATGCCTTCATTGAAGTTCATTCTCGTTTCTTTGCCATTAAGGATCAGGTCACGAAGAATCTTCTTCTTAGAGGGCCTCGCCGAAACGGGTTGTATTTGCTGCCACGGTCGTCGCTCCCTTCATCCAAGCAAGCACTTGGAGTTATCAAGCCTAGTCTCAAACAGTGGCATAGTAGGCTAGGTCATCCTTCTTTTTCAATTGTTCAGAAAGTTATTAATAATAATAATCTCCCTTGTTTAGGAGATCTTCATGAGTCTGGATTCTGTGATGCCTGTTAGAAAGCCAAAAGTCATCAACTCCCCTATCCTAAGTCTATTAGTGTGTCAAGTGTGCCTCTTGAACTTATGTTTTCAGATGTGTGGGGACCTGCTCCTGATTTTGTAGGAGGCAGGAAATATTATGTGAGTTTTATAGATGATTTTAGCAAGTTTACTTGGGTATATTTGCTTAAGAAAAAATCTGAAGTTTTTAAGAAATTTCTTGATTTGCAACAACTTGTTGAAAGGCTCTTTGACCTCAAAATAATCTCCATGCAAACCGACTGGGGAGGGGAGTATGAAAAATTACATAGCTTTTTTTTTTACCAAAATTGGCATTAGTCATCATGTGTGATGCCCGCATGCTCATCAACAAAATGGATCCGCTGAACACAAACATAGACATATTGTTGAGGTTGGCCTATCTCTTCTTGCTCATGCTTCTATGCCTTTGAAATTCTAGGATGAAGCCTTCTTAGCTGCCACTTATCTCATTAATCGCACCCCATCCAAGGTTATTCAATTTGCTACGCCATTAGAGCGACTCTTAAATCAGAAACCTAATTATTCATCCTTGAGAACCTTTGGATGTGCATGTTGGCCAAACCTTCGACCTTTTAACACTCGAAAACTCCAATTTCGCTCCAAACAGTGTGTTTCTCTTGGATATAGTAATATTCATAAGGGATTCAAGTGTCTTGATGTGTCCACTGGTAGGGTTTACATTTCGCGGGATGTTGTGTTTGATGAACAAATTTTCCCGTTTTCCAAGTTGCATTCTAATGCCAGTGCTCGTCTACGGGCTGAAATTAATCTCCTACCACACACTCTTTTGAATCCGACTTTTACCACTATGGGTGCGAATATAAATGGTCATATGTTTGATTCTCCTGAGCGTACTGATACTTCTGGTGAAATTGCAGTACAAATTTGGAAGAAAATGATGTAGGTTGTTGGTATTTCTTAACGTCATTACTAGAAATATAATTCCCAGCAATACCCAGCAATGACGCAGAAATACTCCTGGTATATTATGGTTACAGAGTTCATCCACAAGCGCACGGATATACCATTGTAGCATTTCACCTGAGAGTATTCCAAGGGTATCGTATGTATTTTATCCCGTGGAAAGATTATGTAGAGAGAGATTGACTAATAGTTTATATATTACTTGTGATAATCATATTCTAAGAAGGGGTTAAGATAATCCAAGGGTAGAGTGACAGACAAGCATTAACAACTCATTCTCATAATAAATGATCTAAGCTAGGTGGAAAGAAAAGAGAAAGGAAATATATTCCTATACTTCTAATATACATAGTATACATACATTCTAGTTAACTGATATACTAGCTAATACCCTCTATCCGATGCCCTCCTGGTATTTTGAGAAGCCACCCCTGACTGCCGAGTTCCTTACGACAGCCCGTCATGACCATACAACCGGGGCTAAATACGGAGGAATACCCTCCCCAGGAAATTAACTTAGGATTATATACCGGCGCGGAGGAATACCCGTACTAAGCTGTGACCATCAGCGGCCCATCTCTCATCCGCAATATATAACCCAAATAATGATATCCCGCAATCTAGACACCACGTCTAAACTACCAGATACTACTCTAATACCATCGTCATGACATAGAGTAATAGCATAAGTAAACATTATACCCGCACCAAAGCATCTCCCAGATAAGCTAGCCGTATATTCAGTATAACATGAACATAATGTAGAGTAGGTACTCATATACTCGGAAAGTATTCCAATACCAAAATTGTACATAGAAGAGTGTCACGACCGGAATTAACCCAACGGGCGTTCCTTACGTGCGTGTATTATTCCTTGTCCCAGGAGGCAAGGTACACCAAAAGTTGATACATTTCAGAGTTTATCAAGCGGAAGCGTAAATAGTTAATTTATTACATGGGCGGCGAAGGCCCAGCACACACAAAGACAAACGAGAAACAGCGGAAGACTAGGGCGACGACCACAGGTGCTTGACGGCAGGCACGAGCTAGACACCAAAGCCTTCATCTTCCAGGAACTCCTCTTCTGGGTTTGGGAAAAATTGAGCAAGACTGAGTACAACCACCGTACTCAACAAGACACACCCACAAGTGCAGAATAAATGCAAGGGAGTACAAGGGAGCCATAATATAGGGGGTTAGGGTTTGCAGTAAACAGCATTAAAAGACACTTAGTTGTTCAAAGCTATTTTGTAAACACGGTCCTAGAGCTATACAATAATCAAGGCCGTGAACCCACACGAACATGCCTTAACCCAAGGCCTACGATGATTCAGACCGAACTGGCAACCCGACCCTGGGTCCCAGCTCGTCCCAAGCCAACCCAGGCCAACCATTCCATATTTTAGTTGTTAAGCAGGTTTTAATAATTAAAACACTAACTTGGGTACATTGCTCGGCTTGCCCATAACCGAGGGCGCGGCTATTCGAATAGATTATACTCTGATCAGAGATGTACATCTTTACCCACAAGACACATCTTCCTCACGTGTAACCACGTGCCACATACCACCACGGTATACGGACGGAAGACGTGACATAGTTTCCAACCCATCCTAGCCATAGACAAGAGTACCGACCCAACCCCACCTACGGCCGGAACCCCCGGGACAGGTAGGCAGGACTGAGCCCCTAGCAGCAGGACACCGGCCCTGTGCCATGACATCTCGACTACCGGGCCGCAGCTCGTGTAGCCTTCATTTGTCCTAGAGATGTCCATCGACCCCCGACTTCGTCCATCTCCATCCGTGTACTTTTGTTTATAACCAGACTGAGCCACAAACTAAGCCTTACCCACTAGACATGTGGAAGTACGGTAGTGCTTTGCAACAGAGGCCCGAAGACCGGTCCTTATATGGCTGAGGTGCTACTATCAAAACCATGCACCCCGAGCCCAGCCTAAAACCATTTTGAGGATTTTGAATAGAGGGGGAGGTGTGAATCCAATTCCACAATAATCCAACCATTCCATAGTGTCCAGGTGATATGAATATTCCCAAAGTCTAGAGTTGTAAAACCACCTAATGTTGCCTAATTAACCAGCGAAGCATCTTCCTAAAATCATACTAGTGGTACCATGAGTAGAGTGTCCACTAGTTGGGGTTTTGTTTATTCTAGGGTGAACAAGGAAATAATAACGATAACAATAATAAGGTCATAAGAAAGATACATAGGCATGGCTAGATAAAACAGTGATAACGCGGGAATTTAAATAAAGCGATAATGCAATAATTTAAATCAAAATAATTTTATAAACTGGGATTCAATATGTTCAAGGATGATGTGACTTGCCTTGCTTGCTTTCCCAAACGTTGGCTTCAACTTCCACGAAGAGCGGATCTTCCGAAGCTGCAGCGTCTACACGACCAACGGAAAAGAAAAGGATTTTACTCTAATAAACTCCATATAACAAGGTGGAACAAAGCACAAAAATGGGTTCTTGACTTCTTAAGGAAAAATTAGAGACTTGAACGGTCCAATTCCGAGTTCAAATGGCCAAGTTATGGCCATTTGAAGTTTATATGCTCTTTAAATGAATATTTGCGAATTTCTTCATTTAAATTTTAATTTTAAAAGGGTTTATTGCGTCAGCCGAGGGGAGGGGGCGCGCGGACCGGGTCCACGGGAGTGGGGCCCACGCGGCAGCCTCATGGTCCACGGTGGACCGGGTGCACCCGGCTCGCACCGGCCGGCGCCGTGGGTCCCACGCGTCAGTCGCACCCGAGAGCGCGGGCGGCTGACGGCCGGGCCCCACACGGTAGCCGCTTGGTGCGCCCGAAGGCAGCCACGGCGGCGCGGCCGGCGGGAGGCGGCGTGCCCGTGCCCCTATGGTCGCCGGCGGCGGCCATAGGCACGGCGGAGCGGCGGCCGAGAGAAGGGAAGGAAAGGGGGAAACGAGGCGACGGTCCACGGCTCACCCTAGGTCGACGGCGATGACGAAAAGGCAGCCGGAGCGGAGGAAGGCGGCGGCGCGGCTCGGGTCGACGGGGTCGACGGCGTTCCGGCGGTCGGCGAGCGAAACGGAGGGGTGGACGAGGTCGGCGAGGATGCGGCGAAGCCGAAGGAGGTGGCGCCGAGGTGGGAAGTGGTCCGGGGCGACGACGGCGGCGGACCGGAGCTCGGCGGCGACGGCGAAGA